GCTCATACTAAACTTTGTAGCATTATTACATATTATGTAGGGGCTAAAGCAATAATACAGCAGGTAGGGTGCTTGCCTTGCACACAGCTCACCCCAGCACCTCGTATTTTCTCTCCTGAGTCCTCCAGGAGTGATCACTGAATGCAGAGCCAGAAGTAAGCCCTGTGCACAGCTGGTTGTGGCCCCAAAACCATAAAAAATAATGCATGATTATTAAGACTTATATTTGTTGGCATAAAGTTTGTAAGATTACAATAAGTGAAAGCATCTTTTAATTATATACATGGGGCTGGGGAGTTGGGTCACAGGGCTGGAGCACAGACTTTCCACGCACCTGGTCAGGGTTCAATCCCCAGCACCGCTTTGTGCCCTGAGCACCACTAGATAGCTCCCCAAATAAATTGTCTATTTTAAATATGTTTACACATCTTTGTAGATACACACACCAAGACAACGAAGAGTTGAACCATATAGACATTAGAATGTGCACACAGGCCCTCCTATTTAATGGGTTGGTAATGATTCTGTTTTTCTAACTTTTTTCAACAAGAATCATACACTTGGTATATAATTAGGTAACAGAAGTTCTTAAAGACAATTCTTACCCATGAGTAGAAAGGGGAATTCATCCCAAGGATTCAACATGTTAGTCTTAGAAACAAATTCTATTCAGTGCAGAAAAGAGACTCTCCCAATTAGATACATTTTTTTTTGAATGGAGGGATGTTGGGCCACATTCACCAGTGCCACGAATACAGGGTCAGTCAGCTTCATGAAAACACTTGAAACTTTGAAACATATTAAGGATAAGTGCAGCAGGAGAAAATATAATTTAAATACTGTATTTAAACCCCCACCAGGAGACCTTCCCAGACCCACATGATTCCTCTTAAGAACAGCCAGAATGTAAGTTTAGCAAAGACCTTTGTTCCCCCTCAGGCACCAAGAGCTATATCCAGAATACAAACAAAAACAGCCTTAAAATTCTTCTTTTTGTTTGTTTTGGGGGTGGTGGGGGCAGGGATCAAAACCCAGACTAGACTCCAGCCCACTGAGCTATATCCGCAGTCCGAAACTCCACATTGTAAACAAGAATACATGTAAACACTTGGCACTCCGCTACTCACTCTCCTCTCAGGTAATGATATTCACCCCCAAGTCCCTCTTAAGAAATATCTGCCCATGGTTGATTTTTCTAATTATCACTTTCCCTGGGTTTAAAACTGACCTTCACGGAAAAAAAATGCCCAACATACAGAAAATTACAGCCACAGAACAGTCTCTTTGCTCCGTTTTGGAGTTAATGGATTTCGTGGAAGTGCTGGAAACTGAATGAAGGCTCGAATACTACCACAACAAGCTATATATAGGGAAGGCCTTGTGAATTTTTCAAACAGCAAACACGATGTTAGCAATACGCCAACAGGGGGCTGACTGAAAAATTAAATAAAACCAAAAAAACACCTAAGCGGGAAATACTGTCTACTGGCTTAACTTGGTGGGTTTTCCAAATCTAGAGAGGTCAGCAAGGAAAGCCTGCTGTGGAAACTCCACACTGGAGCCCTAATCTGTGCCTGAGCACGGGTAAATCCTCCCTCAGCTGTTCCAAATCAGCACATTGGGCGCTTCAATCAGGAGCGGACCAGAAATTATCGTGGCAGCTGCAATACAGTCCACTCACTCTCCAGGGCCTGCACATACACTCCACCACCACCGCCCCTCCCCCACCATGAAGGTTTTGTTAACTTTGATTAACAGCTTAGTATCAGAAAAAGCAGGGGTCAAGAGAGCCATCTAGGAGAGTATAATTCACTTGAAACTGCTTCTTCACCATTTTTTTGAGGGGGCCCACATTCACCCTGGCTCAGTGTTCAGGAGTCCATGCAGTGTCAGAAACCAAAACTCCTGTATGCAAAGCACTTGTTCCAGCGCGTTGAGCCATCTTCTACGTGAGTTTCCTTCATTTTTAATTGTCTCATCATCATAAGGTGCTATGAACAATTTGTAACTGAAGACCAGTGAGCTAGGACCAGGGTTTAGGCTCTTGCCTTCCACATGCCGACCCTGATCTGATCCCAGAGTCCCACCAGAAGTGATCCCTCTGCAGAGAACCAGCAAGTAAGCTCTGTGCCCTCCTCCTCCCCCCCCCAAGAAAAAAGAAACTCTAAAGTTGATTTCTGTATGTAATATGAAAGATTTCTTTTTGCAGTGGCATGGTCACACATGAGAAATAAGTGCTCTCAATTGCTGAGCCACATCCCAGGACTGAATGTCCTATTAACAAACACATACACAGAGACACATTCCAGATTGAAAGTAATGAAAACAAAGGAAGAAAAAGGCATCCAAAGGCCAGGGATGCAGCTCAGCAGTAGGGCACATGCCTCCCATGTGTGAGTCCCTAGGTTCCACCCTGGACCCACAAAACAATGAAAGAACATCTATGCCTTCTATACAAGTAAGCCAGGCTGAACAGAGAACCACTACCCCTAGCAGAGTTTCCTTGGTGAGTTCCCTCAGTTTTTTTTTTGTTTGCCATGGAGTCAGTGATTACAGTCCAGTAGCTCACCTGAGAAACACAAAATCCCCTCTGAAAACCTAATATCCTGAAGAGATTGGCTCAAAGTACTAGAGAACATGCTTAAGAAGCAGAAAGCCCCTGGTTTTATTCCTGGCACCACATGTTCCTAAGTACCTTGGCGTGTGGTCCCAAAACCAAAAGAAAAATAAAAGCCATGGGGCCAGAGCAACAGTACAGAGGGTAGTGTTTGCCTCACATGCGGGTTAGCTGAACTGGGTTCTATCCCTGGCATCCCATATGGTTCTCTGAGCACTTCCAAGTGTGGTCCAAAATTATATATATATATATGTATACATATACATACACACACGCATATATATACAAAACCAAAGTAAAATGAGCAAATTAAAAATGTGGGCAAGAGTACATTTTGGGGGGAGGAGCCCCTCATGCAGTCATGGGGCCCACCAGGACCACACAATGGTGCTAGGGTGGGGGACATGCAGTACTGGGTTTCAAACTGGGAGCTTTGTACATGCAAAATATGTGCCCCTGACCCCTGAGCTATCTTCTCCAGGCCCCAAGAATTCTAATGTTAAACTTTCTGCTGGTGAGGGTGGCAGGTCAAATGCTGGTCAAATCCCAGCGGAGGTTTGCAAAGTCCCATTTATTCTCCTGAGACCATCTGTCCACTTTACATGATGTGATAGAAGGCCAGTCACCCCTGCTTAAGTAGGGCTTTCTTCTTCCCAGAATTTTGGTAACCTTTTCCTGTGTTGGGCAGACTGAATCACTTGTTAACAATCACCCAAGACGAGAGCTCTCCTATAAATGCCATGCACACAGCTTGCCATCCTCTCTTAACTGGCTGTGATGACAATCCCATTTCAGTCTGACCCCAACAAGACCTCATTCTAAAATCTGTGAAATACACAATAAGCCAAGTCCATTAGAACAACATTAAAGGTCTCAGTTTAGCTCAGCTAAACAGCAGGATTAAACTTTCAAGGGTCATGTCATGATATAGAGATTTCCTTCAAGTCACTTGGCTTTGCACAGTTGTAGCTATTAGGGATCAGATCTTTATCTCAAAGGTACATCTTTCATCTTTGATCATCCTCCAGAGCTCCCACTAATGTCAACTTTCTCCACCGTTGGGATCAGGTCTCTGGCCTGCCTTTAATGTTGATTTTATCAGAGATCCTACAATCTACAAGAGCAACAGAAAAATTACAAGGAAAAGCTGTGAAGTTCCCTTCTGATGATAAGTTGTTTTAACAAAAAGAGCCTGCTCTTTACCAGCGAAATTTAAACAGAGCAGACAACAGGCTCTGAGGAAGAGAAGCGAGAGACAGAAACGAACCCCTCCCCTGAAGAAAAAGGAAAACAATTTTTAACCGCCAAAGCAGTAAACCAAACACTAATTAAACATCCTGAAGGCTTAGAAAGGGGTTAGTTCCTGAGTCCACGAAATTGACGACGAGTGTCTCAAAAACCGTCTAAGCGGCAAGAGCCCATTAGCAGCGGTCGGCTTCCCTCCAGTCAGTCTATCTGGTAAGGCTGAGCAAGAAGGGAAGGTTCCCAAGGGGTCAACGCTCTTTCAAATTCCCACCCCACAACCAGTTCAGCCGGTTGTGAGATAACCCCCTCCCCAGTCCCTGATAAGGATCTCCCCCAATCCCCCATCCCTGGCCTTGCTCACTACATCTCCCATCTCCCCAAGCTCCTGGCACCATCTCCTTCCCGATGAAGAGCTGTCAAGTCCCAGGGGACACCCGCTCCCCGTGGCGGACGACCCCTGGCACACACGCCCCGGAACCCCCGTTGTTTCCAGTCCCCCCCCCCTCCGCCGCCGCCGCACCCCTACAACACCCATCAGCACCCTCTCCCCCGCAGCAGGAGGAAGTCGCTCGGCTTCCTCTGTTCACACCGCCCGCTGAAGCTTGGGCGCCCCGGGCTTTTTGGGTGGGGTTCTTTTTTGTGTGTACTCGAGGCGTGTGTGTGCGCGCGCGCCAGTGTGTAATGTGCAAAACGCTCTCGCATCCTTCCGCCTCGGCTGCCTCAGGTGCCCGGAGGAGGGAATGTGGATCTCGCACCGCCCGGGTCCCTGGCTCTTTGTGCCGAGTCTAGGACCGCGCGAGGTTCGCTCTCCGGCTCACACCCCTGGCCCGGCTCCCGATTCCCAGCCGCGGGCGCCACGATGCGACCCCCTGATCGTCCGTCAGCTTGCAGCCGCCGGGCGGCCACCCGGGCTGTCAGCGGGCGCGGGGGGTTCGGACCCCGGCCAGCGGCAGTCGGGGCAAAAACTTACTGAAGCGGAGAAAGCGCGCGCGTGGCGCACCCGGCAGCCGCCCCGAGCGCCGTTCCCGTGCCGGCCTCGCCTCTCGGCGCGCACCGACAGCCACCGGGTCGCCGGCGCCTAACGCGCGTCCCCCCGGGGCGTCCCGGGACCGCCCCGCGCCGCCCCGCGACCACTCACCAACACCACGGAGCCCCGGACGGCCTCCGACACGCTCTGCCGGAGCTCGGCCGCCGTGCCGGGCTTGCTGAGCCGCTTGGTGAATTTGCGCACTTCGGCCATCACAGCGCGTCCGGGCGGCGAGCGTACCCGTGCCGGGCAGCCACTGCAGCCTCTGTTTACACGCCGGCGGGCCACATCGCCGCTCGGCGGCGGCGCGACTCCCCGGCTCCTCCCTCGCTCCCGCGGCTCCTCCTCCTCCTCCTCCTCCTCCTCCTCCTCCTCCTCCTCCTCCTCCTCCTCCTCCTCCTTCCCTCCTTTGCTCCTTCGCCGGCGCTCGGTGCTTCCCCTCTCGCCGTTCCCTCCCGGACAGGGCCGGAGCGCTGCTCCAGACTGGCGCGACCAGGAGGGTGTGTCCACGAGGAAGGGTGTGTGCTGGGGGGAGGGGGGCGGGGGTCACGAGGGAAGAGGGGGGAAGTGGCTACCGCTCGGGCTCCGCCCGCCCGCAGCCGATGCTGCTGCTACAGCCGCAGCCGGGAGGGGAGATCTGGCTGCTTCGTGTTTCTCTCGTGCATGTGCAGTGTGCGCGCGCGCGCGTGTGTGTGATTTGCACGAAGGCGGCGAAACGTCCCGGAGTGTGGCTCGTGCTCTGCCACACCGCACCTTTCCCACCCCAGAGGCTGTGATGCTCTCTGGAGAGCTAGAGAACTCTCACTGTTCCCCACCTTGCCAGCCACCCCTCCCCTCCAGGGGCTCGGAAACAACGCCTAGGCGGCCGCCTATTGTGTGCTCGCCCAGGAGGGGTTTGGGGCAGTGGAGGGAGGGAGGAGGGATTTCCAGCCCCAGCGGCTCCCGGGGGTCCTTTCCCCGCCCACGCTCTTTTCTATCCTGGGCTGGGAGGAGAACAGTCTGCTGCGGGGTGAGAAGTGGAGACTGACTGTAGCTGAACCCCGTACTTTCACCCCTGTGATGGTGCCAAGGGGAGAAGGGGGTACTGGAAAGGCCTTGGCACATGTTCTATCACCTCTCCATTTTCTAGGCCTTTTCCTTCCACTTTTCAAGAAGTGAATTTCCAATGCAAATTATATCTTCTAACTCAGTGTATAACAAACATGCTTGAGACAGAAATAAGGATGAATTGTGAAGAATCCCTGGCCCCATAACCTTGCCAAGTGAAAAATGGGGGCCCACCTACAGGGCTGTTTTCTGTTGCAATGCATTTTCCTCCCAGTGCTCAGAACTCTGTGTCCATTCTCTGGCAGTTGGGCAAAATCATCTAACACAAAGCCTATTTTACAATCAGTGCGGACTACCTGGGAGCTCAATTTTAAAAAAGTGATTTGAAGTACAGGGGCTATTTAGTTTGTCTAGCTTTTGCACCAGCATAAGGCAACATAAATAAATAAATAAATGTTTCACTGACCCTTCCTAAATAGGAACAAACTGAACTTCATTTATTAAACGTTTCAATGGGAAACAATGCAGCCCTGTAAATTTTCTACCAGCACCCTAGGGCACTTTCACACTTGTCCTAACTTTAAAGACCAAGCATTCTAACACACACATCTAAAGATGGACTTTGCTATGGAAACAAGTGGTGGACAGTTTCTGTGAACCTTCCAAAAGGCCAAATTTCATGCAGCAAATCTATATTGCAACCTTCCCTTAAATCCACATAGAGCATATGTGGAAGAACTAGAGAGGTTTGGGGCCTGAAAGTCCTCAAGAAGTAGACCCCTGGGAGTCAGAGTGATTGTATAGAGGGTAGGGCTTTTGCCTAGTACAACCTGGGTTCAATCTCTGTCACTCCATATGGTCCCTGAGCATTACCAGGAGTGATCCCTGAATGCAGAGCCAGGAGTAAGCCCTGAGCACTGCCAGGTGTGGCCCAAAAAACAAATTTAAAAAATTTAAGGTAGACACTTATATCACCAATCTTGGTTTGCACTGTGTGTGAATACATAAAACATGTTCCTTGCAGAGTGTTAGTGGATCAACATGAAGTCCTGCCTTCCACTTCATGAATAGCCACATTGTTGGTCACCTCCACAACAAATATAATACTTTTCTAAGAGATTCCAAAAATTGCTTCATATATTGGGCTGAGCCATAGGACATCATCAGGCTCAGCTCCAGGTGATGCTGGTTTGAAAAAAATGATAATATTTCTCCTTTACCAGTGGGATTGTCTTGACACCCACTCAGACTAGGTCAAAAGAATATAAAAAGAAAAGTGTAGGAGGAAGCATTCTGGAAAAGGTTTTCCACCTTGACAAAAAAGAAATGGGGAATGGGACCAGAGAGATTGCTCACAGGGCTGAGCACTGCTTTGTGTGTAGGAGGCCTGGGTTTGATTCACAGTACCACCAGGAGCAAACCCCAAGCACAGAACCAGGAGTTACTCCTGAGCACATCCAGATATGACCCCAAAGCAAACAAAAAATAAACAAAAAGAAAAAAAGAAATGGAGAGGCAGGATGGGGCATATGACTCAGGATGCTAGAGTATATGCTTTTCATGTGGGGAGAGCCCAGTATCACCCCCCACACCACATGGTCCTCCGAGCATCACAGGGAGTAAGCCCTAAACACAGAGCTTGGGATAACCCCCAAGCATCACCAGGTATAACCCAACTGTTGGTTCCACAACACACAAAGAAAAGTGGGTGAAGAACTCTGCTCCTTATCTCTTTCTGGTTGAAAGATATGTTTTCTTGTGATGCTTTGGTCCTTGACCAAAGACAAGTGTGGAAGGTGATACACTGATAGAAGAATCATTTCTGAATTCAGACATCTTTTATCCGATAAAGATAAACCCTCTCTTATGGTTTATGCAACTAGATTTCTTTCTGATAGTCTCAGTCAAAAACATCCTTAGTGGGGCTGGAGCAAAAGCACAGCAGGTAGGGTGTTTGCCTTGCCTGCGCCCGACCCGGGTTCAATTCCCAGCATCCCATTTGGTTCCCCGAGAAACACCAGAAGTAATTCCTGAGTGCTTGAGCCAGGAGTAACCCCTGTACATCGCTGGATGTGACCCGAAAAGCAAAAAAAAAAATCTTTAGTATGGATTCTATTTTATCCTCTGCAAGTACACAGAATAGAATAAGACAGGCAAGGTGGAGCTGACATTGTAACATGAGCAAATTAATGTGTTTGTTTCAGAAAGAGGTAAAAGGTAGGTAGAGAAATGAATCAAGGTCTCATCATAGAAACTAGAGTCGGTGACCTAACTTAGACTAGATGGTCCAGAAAGGCCTCTTTGAGGAGGTGAAAATTGAAAATTGAACAGTCTTGAAGGAAATAAAGCAGTCGGCAGAAGTTAGGAAAGAGAAGGAATGAGATCACTCCATACAGCAGGGATGGCAGGTAAAAGAATCTGGAGAAGGCATTCACCTTAATAACTTCAAAGCCAGAACTCCAGAGTGGCTGAAGAATGGAAGTCAAAGGAGCGCTATAAGATGGAGTCAGGAAAGTAGGCAGTTTCTTACGAGCCTTGTGAGCCATCGGAAGCATATGTCATACTGATGGTGTGCAAACACCAGCTGCTCATTGTGCAGGCTCTATGCTCATTCCTGAGACTGTAGATTTCATTTCAGGGCTTCTGTTCAATTACATAAACATTGAGCATCTTGCTATGCACTGAGGGAGGAGGCAAGATGAGTTTTAAGGCACTGTCCATTCTCCACGGAGAAAGAAAGGAAATTCTTGTAGAGAATGTGTTTATAAGAAAAAGCAGATTAAGAACAGGACCATACTTGAGGTTAAGAAGCAACTGAGGGGTCTGGAGCGATAACACAGCTGCTAGGGCATTTGCTTTGCACACGGCTGACCCGGGTTTGAGTCCCAGAATCCCATATGGTCCCCCGAGCACTGCCAGGAGTAATTCCTGAGTGAAGAGTCAGGAGTAACCCCTGTGCATTGCCGCGTGTGACCCAAAAAAGCTAAAAAAAAAAAGAAGCAAGTGAGATCAGAGCCAATTCAAAGATATGGAAAGCTTTCTGAAGGAGGCTGCGACGGGGGAGGGGGGTTCAGTCTCTGAGCAGGATCTCAAGGATGATTAGGATTTTGATATGACTACTCACAGAGTAAAGGGAAATTGTTGAAGCCAAATGTACAGTTTCCAATGGAGCATTTTATTGTATGATTTCATTTTTTAAAATAGCTTGGACTTTATTAGAAATGTATCTGCCATGTTAACTCTGTCCCCCATTGAACTTGAGGTTCAAGTATTAGAAATGTAATTAACTACAGAATATAGTTCAATATGCTATATTGCATTTTGAAAGTCACTAAGATGTCTTCAAAGTTCTCATTACAAAAGCACATTGATCGGGATGGGAGATGTTTGCTGAAAGTAGATAATGAACCAAACATGATAACCTCTCAGTATCTGCATTGCATAATGCCCAAAAATAGAGAGAGAGTATAGGGAATATTGTCTGCCATAGAAGTAGAGGGAGGGTGGGAAAGGGAGGGTATAACGGGAATATTGGTGGTGGAAAATGTGTACTGGTGGAGGGATGGGTGTTTGATCATTGTGTGATTGTAACCCAAACATGAAAGCTTGTAATTATTTCACTGCGATTCAATAAAATTTTTTAAAAAGCATATTGAACCACTATATCCAACATAGTACCATTTTGACATGTAACCCATACAAAAAGGTAAATTTATTTTTACTCTAGGAGTCAGAGAGTTAAGTACTAACTTTTCATATGGCCCACCCTTGTTGGATACCCAGCACCACATGGTCTCCTGCGCACCACCAGGTATTACTCCCGAAAAATAATCAAAAACGTTTTTTAAGAACTTTTTACTCTTGGGGCAAGTTTGGGCCACACCCAGAAGTGCTTAGACCTTACTCCTGACTTTGCACTCCGATATCACTCCTGGCAGGCTCAGGGAACCATATGAGGTGCCAGAGATCAAATCTGGGTCAGCCGCATGCAAAGCAAATGCCCTACCTTCTTTACTATCACTATTGTCCCAATGTTTTACTTTAATTGTAAGTCTTTGAAATCCAAAATGCATTTCATCTGTACACTGGTTAGATGCTAAATTTTCACACAATTTGTACTGTGACTTTATAAGATTATAGTTGGGAAAGCAGACAATAAGCCAAGTTGT